CTTCTGGTAAGCCACATTGTGGAAATTTCATATTATAAAAAAGTGTTAAATGAACCTTGTACTCAATTGCCCGACTCAACATTTCATAGGTGGATTTCCACCTAGTTGGACAATTCGGTGCTATTTTTATGGTCTTTATCCGTTGTTGCCTGTAAAAACCTTTCCCTTCTTGATATCTCAAGTTAGAGCTATTAATAGACATAATAGCATTCCTTATTTTGTGATAAAATGTAGGGGTGAAAGTAATTCGGATTAAAACCGAACCGAACCGAAAACCAAACCGAATTACTAATTCGGTTTGGATTTTTTTGAATTCGGATTGGATCGGATTGAAAAAATTAAAAAATATGGATCACGGATTGGATTCGGTTTAGGGTTTAAAAAAACCAAAAACCAAATTACAAACCGAATTTCAACCCAATAATTTAAGCTCATTTTCTTTTTCAAATTATCCAACCACTTTCCCCTTTCATAAATAAACTTAAAAAAAAAAAAAAAAAAACCTAATTCTCAATTCTCCTTTATCAATATCTTACTCTCTCACAAAGAATGTAGTTAACATGAAATGATTGTAGGAATTTTCTAGGTGAAGTTCGAGTTTCGAGTTTAAATGTTGCAAAAGAAGGGAACAAATTTCGGTTTGGATTGGATTCTAATTTGAAAAACCGAATTAATTCGGTTTGGATTGGATTGGATCGGATCATAATTCGGTTTGGACTCGGATTGAGATTTATAAAACCGAATTAATTCGGATTGGATTCGGTTTTGGCTATAACCCAAACCGCAAACCGAACTTTCACCCCTAATAAAATGGACCAATTGCTTGTGTTCCATCCTTCACACACAAGTTAAGAACATGACAAGTGCATCTAACATGAAGTGCATCTCCATCTAATATAACATCGGTCAATTGAGATTTGACCAAATTTGCACTATATGTCATAGAAGTTGCATTATCAAAAGTCATAAACATGATTTTATCCCTAAGACTATATGCATCAATGGCTTCCATTAAATGATGTGAAATGTTAAGACCAGTATGAGGGTATTCAAGAATTTTTAAATGAATGATGCGTTTTTGTAACAACCAATCATTATCTAACCAATGACAAGTAACACATAAATAGTGAAGTCCGTATCCACCATCCCATGCATCGGCGGTTAAAGAAAATCTACTAGGAAGATTAGCTAATTCATTTACTAATTTCAATTTATACTCTAGATAATTCTTCATGGCAGCAGATCGAACGGTTTTTCGGGAGATTTTTTTTTGTGTTTTGGTTGTAGTGCTCGGTTAATGTCGTTGTTGAAGGCATCATTTTCGGCGAAAAGAAAAGGTTGTTCGGCATGTACAATCATTCTCCCAAGTTCATCCCTATCTCTCTCATAATTGTAAATGAAGCCTTGTGGATGGAATTGAGAAATTTTGGGTTGGGTTGGATCATTAGATGGTCCACCACATTTTTTTGAATGTCTATTAAGGTGTCCTGTCCCTCCCTTGGTATCGGCCGAGAAAATTTTACCACAAGTTTGACACCGGGCTTTGGTTCCATTTTAACTTAATTGATAATGTGCCCAAACTTCACTCTTTCGGTTGGTTTGAGCAAATTCCTCTTCGGTACACCACTCTAATATGTTAGGATTTTGGGTGTTAGGAATTTGGGTGGATTGTTCACTCGACCCGGAGGCTTGTGTTTGGCTACCTTGGGTATTAGGAATTGAAAATTCATATTGTGATCCGTATAAATGAGGTGAGAATTGTGTTTGTTGGAATCCCGAACTAGGCATAGTCCAAGGAGCTATATCATCCATTTGTTCATACCCTCCCGTGGTTTGGGGATGAAAGAAAGGGGTGGAAGTGTTTGGAAAGGGCATGTTAGGGGAGTGAAAGGGCATGTTAGGCACGGGAATGGTGTTAGGAGGGCATTGGAGTGTTTGGGTTTGATGATTCCCTACGCTTTGACTTGGCTTTTCTAGAGGAGGAGGAAGTGTTCGGATTTGATGCCATGATATTTAATAATAACAATAACAACAATAATAATACAAATAACAATAACTAACTAACAATAACAATAACAATAACAATTAACAACAATAATAATAACAATAGCAATAAGAATTAGTAAGTAGTTTTTATACAAATTAAGTTTTCAAAAATAATTATAATAATAGTATATTACTTAGGTCAATGAGATCCCAGGTAGGAGAGGTTAGGAACGACGTTGTCCAGAGCCCAAGTCCCGCCTTAGATAGATTTCACTAACAATCTAAATTATCCACAATAAAAATAGAAAGTAGTTTTTATATAATTAAGTTGATCCAAGAAAACAATAATAACAATAACAATAACAAATTAAAATAAAGTTGAGTTAGATCTTACAATGACGCTTCAATGCTTTCCCAAATTTATAATTTCCTGAATTTATAATTTCCCAATTGTAAATATAACTTTTTTTTTGTAGTAGACTAATAAAAGTAATAATAGTAAAAATGTAAAATTTATAAGAGAGTAGAAATTTTTTTTTTCTTTTCACAAAAGAGAGTAAGATTGTAGCCTTTGTAGGAATTAGAGAGTAAGAAAATTAGAGAATAAGAGAGAAGAGATGAGTTGATGAATTGTCAAAACTTTGGAGGAAGAAATGGGGTATTTATAGGGAATTTGGGAGGGAAAATTGCCAAAAACTAGTCGTTATTATAGCTGTTGGAAAACGGCTCTAAAACGGCTAGTTTCCAACGGCTATGGTAAGGGTCGTGCCGTGCCGGGCGGGCCTCGTGTCGTGCCATGCCCGACCGTGTCACGTGTCGTGCCGGCATGCCGGCCACCGTGCCGCCAGCCGTGCCCGTGCCAAATTCAAAAATTTTGTTCACGGCACGGCCCACAGCCCATAGGTGAGCCGCCGTGCCGGAATCGTGCCGGACCCATGCCGCCCGTGTGTCGGAACCGTGCCGCCCGCGTGCCGGCACGGCCTGTGCCCATCATTAATCATCACAATGACATACAACACCCAATTAATATGAAAGGTCAGCAAGGTCAACCTCTACAGTACAAAGGCATCAGCGGTAGAATGGCTAAGCACTGATCGATCAGAATTATAATGTAATCATATCCTCTTGAAAAAATTTGAAGGGGACAATTTAATAGCAATGGAGATAGATGTCCAATTTTTCAAGAAGGGTAATGAGAAGACAATGGCATCCTAAAAATAAAAGAATCCCACTATCGAGTACTCCCTCCGTTTCAAAATAATGTTCTTATTTGAAATCTTTGATTTTCTAAAAAAAGAGAGATTTTTTAAAATTTCTTTTAATCTATAAGAACAAATATAGTCATGTGAGATCGAATTTTATTAGTCTTGGTCAATAGATTATTAATATAATTTATATATTTTTTGTTAGTGTGAGATTAAAGATATTTGCAATAAAAAAATGAGTAAAATTTGCATCAAACAAGACATCATTTTGAAATAGAGGGAATAATAATAATAAAAAAAGCATTTCTAAAATTGTTTATCTGCCACGTCATTCTCCTCTCATAGCATTGTGCCACATCATCACTTAATGGCACGTCATTACCAATAAACAAATCATTTTAACTGTTATTAAAAAGCTTTGATGGGTTTCGAACACTAGACCTCAAAGAAACAAAATCTACTTCCTTACTATCTTAGCCAATAACTATTAATGTCATCTATACATATAAATATAACTGTAAATGACATGCATCAATTAAAAAGGAAATACGAGATAAGCAATTTATAAAAAAAAGATAAATAAAATCAACATTTCAAAAACAATAGGGTATTTATGCATAACATACATAATCAATGATAATATATATATTTCATTATGTCAAAAAAAATTATAATTTATTTCATAAAGAAACAATTTAATCAAAGTGGTAACCCGGTGCAATGCCCGGGCCACAAACTAGTTATATATATACAAACTTGGATGATAGAAAGACATAGTATAATTTTTTTTTTTTACTTACACACTGAGTATAAAATTTTGTTTACAAAAATACAATAGTTTCCAAAACAGAAGGATAAATACAAAAAAAAAAAAAAAAAAAAAACACACAAAATTTTGTATGCGGCCTGCTACTGTAACGTACGGTAGGGGTTACCCAAATTTTGTTGTCAGGGGTTTTTTGAGTTTTGGGGATTTACTCAAGTTTCTCTGTCATGTGTTACTTGAGTTGTCGGGGTTAATCGAATTTCTCGGTCAGGGTCGGGGTTACCTGACTTGTCGGGGTTACTCGAGTACGTAACCAGATGACTCGAGTTTCTCGGTCGGGGGTTACTCGATCAGGGGTTACTCGAGTTACTCGGTCAAGAGTTACTCGAGTTGTCGGGGTTACTCAAGTTACTCGGCAAGGGGTTACTTGAGTTAATTACTCCTGACCAATTAAGTAACTCCTCAAGTAACCTCATGACCAAATAACTCCTCGAGTAATCCATGACCGAACCCCTCGAGTAATCCCTGATCGAGTAACCCCTCAAGTAGCGCCTAACTGAGGAACCCCTCAAGCAACCCATGACCAAACCCTTAAACAATCCCTTATCGAGTAATCCATGACCGAACTTCTTAAGTACTCATGAGTAACCGTTGGTCGAGTAACTCAAGTAATCCTTGATCGAGTAATTAATTCGAGTAACCCATGATCGAGTAACCCCACGAGTAACCGTTGATCGAGTGAACCCCTCGAGTAACCCTTGTCCGAACCCCTGAAGTAATCCATGACCGAGTAATTCGAGTAATCCCTAACAAAAAACTTAGAGCGAGAGCCCTAAAAAAAAAAAAAAAACTCGACTAACACATGCCGCATGATGTGCCCTATTACTATACGCCAAAAAGTTGCTATTACAAAATTAAATTAGTTTCCAAAACAAAGAGATAAATACTAAAGAAAAAAAAATTCGGTCTGGGTGATTTATTTCACTCATCTCATTGCAAACATTAAGAAAAAAAAAAGTCGTGTTAAAAAAAAAAAGGAAAGTATACTTCAACTAGAATTTAGTAAAAAAAAAATCTATAAATACCAACGAAGTCTTACCAAAGTCTCATCATCAATTCTTATTCTTTCATACTCCCAACAAAAATTCGCTCTCTCGAAAATTTCTTAGCTTTTCCGAACCTTAAACCACTTAACCTAATTAGCAATGGCAGCATCAACCTCTTCTTCATCTTCGAACAAGAAGGTAATCCTAAGGAGTTCCGATAAAGAGACTTTCAACGTCGATGAAAAGGCAGCAATGCTTTCGCAAACAATCAAGAATATGATCGAGGATCTCGGCGACAACACCGATCCCATCCCGCTGCATAATGTCACCTCTAAAATTCTCGCTAAGGTTATCGAGTATTGCAACAAACACGCTAATGATGATAACTCCGAATCATCTAATAATGATGAACTCAAGCAGTGGGATAAGGACTTCCTCAATGTCGACCAAGAGACCCTCTTTGATCTTATTCTTGTAAGTACTTTTCTTTTACTTCGATCTTATTTTCTTTATTTTTGTTGATTTGTGATTGACTTTAATTTCTCTCTTTCTTTTGTTTTTTTTTTTTAATTTATTTTGTTGCTTTACGATATTATTAGGGCAAATTTTACAATTAATTGATCATTTTAGGTCATAGGGTTGATGTTGGAATCTTTGGATTATTTTAGTTGGTTATATAATTTTATCATATATGATTACATATTTCTTGTGCACGTATATGTATTTTATCATAATTTTTGATAATATGATAATAGTTTAACACTTTGACTTCGCAATCATCGCAGTATACATAATATTGTACCAAACTTTTTTGCTTAGATGTATCATGTATGAGTTGTTTGTTATTATAATCTAAGTGAACATGTTGTTTATAATATATACATTTACGTGGTCAATTGATAGAGTAATAACAAAATTAATTATGTGGGATGATGTTATACAGGCTGCTAATTACATGGATATCAAGAGTTTGCTGGATTTAACTTGTCAATGTGTGGCTGATATGATCAAGGGAAAGACACCCGAGGAGATAAGGAAGACCTTCCACATCAAGAACGATTTCACACCCGAAGAAGAGGAAGAAGTTCGCAGGGAAAATCAATGGGCTTTCGAGTAAAACTCAAGTAGCAATGGAACTCATTGAAGAACTCATCACAGTGTTTAGGATTGTTTACTGCTTCATCGAATTATTTTTAAGATTCACTATTTTCAATTGTTGTGTTCTCTTGATCAAGAAACAAATAAAGTTTTAGGTGTAATAGTTATAAAGGTTCAATCAACTATCTTGCAATAAGTTAGAATCACATCTAGTAGGTTCCGCTCATGTTTAATCGATTATAGGTATATAAATTACATTATACAATTATATGTACCAAAATCAATTTATATAATTAATACTACCACCGGTTCAAATTACTCGCAACTTTAGAATATTTTATATCTCACAAATAATATCCCAAAGTTGTGAGTAATTTGAACCGGAGGTTCAAATAAAGTTAAATTACAAAAATTAATATTCAAAAATCATTTAAAAGGTTTCATTCAAGCTGCTAATATAAATTAATCAATTATATGAGTTGTCATCAATTTTCTTTTATATATTTTGTATTTTTGGTGTCATTTTCCAACACTTTCTGTTTTTTTTTTTTTTTTTTTTTTTGGTGTTTAGAGAGCTACAAAGGCGGGTGATGAGAATCGATCCTAGGATCACCTGGGACCGGGAGGGGAGCTCTAACCACTTGAGCTATCCCTCGTTCTCTCCAACACTTTCTGTTTAATAATTACTCCGTACCAACTACTTTTTCTTTCTTTATCTCTCTCTTACCTCACATGCATATTTGTACTTTCCAATCATGAGTTTCAATGAATCTCTAAATTCCTTAATTCCCGTAAAAAATGGAAACTAGGCATTGAGGGAGTAATAATTCTAATAAACATAAATCTCATATACTGTAATTTTACTACGGGATTGGTACAATGATTTTTTAAAAATCAACTGAACGCATATAAAAGTTAGTTTACGTTTTTAACATTAATTACGAAAATCGCTCATTTAAAGTCTTAGGTCATGTTTGAGAAAATTAACGCTAGCGGGTAGCTTTTAGCGGTCGAGTAGCGGGTATGGTAGTTGTTAAGGTAGCGACTAGCGGTCAATTAGTAGTGGGTAGAGATTAGCTGTCAAGGTAACAATTAATAATATGAGTGTTTGGCAAAAGAGAGTGAGGGATAGCTCAAGTGGTTAGAGCTTCCCTCCCGATTCCAAGAGATCTTGTGATCGATTCTCATTCCCCGCCCTTGTGGCTCTCTAAACACCAAAAAAAAAAGTGTTTGAGAAAAACTACCTAAACTCTACCTCTGTGGCTAACCAGTACTCCGTACCCCCAAACGCTTCTACCAAACAGGTGCATAATTGATTCATGAGATTTTTCTGTTGTGTTAAGACCAACAGAAAGTGAATTGTCATAAAATTTTATGGGTGTTAATAGTTAGAAAATGGTTATCAAATTCGTGTAGCCATTTATAATTAACTAGCATAGTGCCCGTAAGATGCACGGATTATAAATCAAATTATTAAACCCGTAGTAAAAATAAAAACAAAGGTAATTCATTTACTATTAAAGGACTTGTACTAATGGTCAATAAAAAAAATAAAAAAAAATTAAAGGAACGTTATTTGAATAGTATTTTATGTTATTTGAATTTCTTTTAATTTTTTATAATGTTATTTTATTAATTAAAAAATAATTGAATAATACTCCACATAGCTATATAAGAAGTGGACTAATTTATTTATATCTCCCGTTGAGAAAAAACTAAAATTTTCTTATCATACCATCCGCATCAGTAGCTACAATCAATCTAATATATACATGTTTTATTTACCCGTCCCACTCATTAAATCTATAGACACAATAATAACCTTATATTTGACCTACCAGAACATATATTTTCCTAAGTTAAGCATTGTGCCAAAAACTATATACTATATAATAGTCATATATATAACCAACAGCTGATTAAGTATAGTATACGACACAAATACTTCGTATATAGGTATGGATACTGATAATTTTATATAAATAAAATATACGAAGTATATATTACTAAGATTTATCCCTATCTTAATTATAAAAAGGTTAACAAAACTCTTATAATAGTGCATGGACATTTATATATCTAAAATGTTCTTTTTACATATATTTTCCTCCATATATTTTCCCCCATTTAATTATAAATGCCTTAAAATTGTCTTAAAATTGTCTCTTGAATTCGCTAAATTGATTTAAAAGGTTATGTTTATTTCAATATTTAAAGCCATTTACTATTTTCATTTCCTTTTGTTTTAATTTTTCTATTTAGAATTTATTAGACTATTAGGTTTCAAGATCGAAGTCAATATCTTTTTACCGCACAATCACTAAATCAAAGTCGCTCAACTAAAGTTTTGGACATTGCATAGCTACACAACATCCAACACATTTAATGATTACATGCAAATAATTTTAATAAAACTACGCATTCGATATAAGTTATTAAACAATTTAACTATATATACATTTTGATAGGTTTATATCTTTCATATTAACAAAAATTTACAAATGTTATTATCATATTTTGAAAAAAAAATAGACTTTGGAGTTTTGTATAAGATAGATAAAGGATAAATTAATTCCCGTCATATATGCATTGAGTTTTGGGTGTTCTATCCGATTCACCCTTTGGGCTAATCCAGATTTGAGGATCAGTTCTAGATTATTAGGTTTCACTCCCATTCCAATTGTTGTTGCAGGGGAGCATACAGGTCCTCCCTACCAAGTGTAGTCTCAATCACCACTACACCAACAACCAATTGGTGTAGTGGTGATTGGGACTACACTTGGTATGGAAGACACGTGTTATAAAATATTATATTATATACGTATAGTTTTTTATATTATAAAAAATATTATATTATATACACATACTATTATAGTTAAAAGTATTATTATGTATAAAACAACATAAATTATTGCACATTATTGTTGTATATCTAGTATAGTACATGAGCAATGCACGATTTTTAAATCAAAATGTTAGTATTTCTAAAAAAAAAATTCATTTAATTTTCATAAAAAAAAAATATTAGCCTTTCAAAATACGAAATATATGTTTCCTTAATTATGCCACTTTAATCATATTGCTTCAAATTAGTTATCATTCTTTAACTTAACTATAAATAAAGATTGGAAAGATTTTATGGATTATTTGTAGTATTGGAAAGTATATATTTATTATAAAAAATTAAATCAATATTTATGTTAGGAAATCATGAAAATCTTATGCATGTATAGAAACTTGCTTTTATTGTTTGAAGTTTAACAAAAATAACTATGCTTAAATATGTAAACAGTAATTATATAAATATATTTTATACATAAGATAAGCTAATGAGAGAGTGACATTTGTCATCCTCACATTGAGGCGCTTGTCTTTTAGTATAATATAAGTAGATTACAGTAGTAGAAATCAAATTATTACACGATTTACCGCACTCTTTTAAAACCGTGGAAGTACATGGTTGCTTATGCAGCAATTCTCCCAAAATTTCTATAAATATAGCTCTAGTCTTTCCTAGTCTTATCATCCATCATTTTCTCTCATACTCCAATACTCATTTCTTCTCAATTTTCTCTACTTTCCAAACACCTCCTTCTTCAACTGCAATGGCTTCTTCCAGGAAGATAATCCTCCAGAGTTCTGAAAAAAAGCTTTTCGAGATCTCCGAAAACGCAGCAATGCTGTCTGAAACCGTCAAGAACATGATCAAAGCAATCGGCGAAAGCAACGATCCAATTCCGGTGAAAAATGTGAGCTCAACAATTCTGTTGAAGATCATCGACTACTGCAACAAGCATGTTGAGGAAGAGAATGATGATGTACTCAAGCAATGGGATGCAGACTTCCTCAAACTTGACCAGGACATTCTCTTTGATCTCATTCTTGTGAGTATTAATTTTCTTTCATCTATTTTCTTCATTTTGGTTCAATTGTTATTCATGTCGTTATTTCAATTTCTTTCGTTTGATTTTGTTTAGGGCTAATTTCTTGATTGATTATTTTGTTGTTTAGGGGTTAGGGTTTATGTTTGTTTTGATTGTGTAAGATTTAGGGTTCTGAACTTGTGATTTATGATTGTTTAGTCTAATATTTTGATTAATTATTCTAATTGTTTTAGAGTTTAATTTAGTGTTAACTTGGATTTAATTATTTTGTGATGACTAGAGTTCTGAAGTATATTAATAATTCCTTGTTTCGTTGTAATTTTTTTTTTTTTTTTTTTTTTGTTGGCTTAAATTAATATTCAAGTTATTAGAAATATTCGGCTAAATTTTATGATTAAATCTGATATTTAAAGATTAGGTGTTTTACATGATGACAAAAGCAAATTTGAGTGCATTATTAGAGTTTATCTTCTTAGCGATCTTTATAATTAAATATCAAGGTTGTTTCAAAAAAAATAAAAAAAATAAATAAATAAATAAAACAAAATAAATAAAATCAAGGTTTTCAGAACATAGAGATTATTTTATCGTAGAATCAATTGTATGTGGAAATATGATTTTATGATGTATTGAATTTTAATTTTGATGTTACTGTATAATATTAGATTAATTTTTATGATGATCGACATATAATATTGAGTCCAACTTTTGTGCTTAGAGATGTATGAGTTGTTTGTGAATAATGTAATGTGTTGGTTAACTATACATATACGTGATCGATTTATATACATTTTCATGATCGATTTATGAATTAATAATGTGTATGTGGTGAATGCAGGCTGCTAATTACATGGAGATCAAGAGTTTGCTGGATTTAACTAGTCGCCGTATTGCTGATATGATCAAGGATATGACACCTGAGGAGATAAGGAAGGAGTTCAACATCAAGAACGATTACACACCCGAAGAAGAGGAAAAGCTTCTCGAGGAGAACAAACGGGCTTTCAAGTAATCTGAATTTGCAATGGATGAAACTGTTAGAACATTTTCATTTACCAGTCCCAAACTGTGTTTCTGACTAGCTTAATTACCTGCTGCATTTGTTTGCTTAATGCTGTAGTGTTGTAGTGCTGTAGCACAAACTATGTTTACTGCTGTAGTGTTGTAGCTCGAATGTGTATAACCTGCAATTTAAAATTGTTGCGGGTATGATAAAAGGAAAGGCAGTAGACGTGATAAGTATGCCTGAGGATGTAACAGAATTAAGGTATATGTACGTTGTGGGCCTTCGAGTAGTGAAATGAAGCAGTTTTTATGGCTAATTTCTTTCTTGAGGATTGTATGCCCTGTTTGTATGTTAGGTCTGCATAAATGTTAACATATAAGGGGTCTGTTTTGATGGAAGGACTAGCTAATGTTATGCTTTTGTCACTATGGACGATTGCATGAGATTGAGGCGTAGTTGAGTTGGTAGCTGATCTAGGATTTGTTTTTTGAACTGCATTAGGGGAGGAGCTTAGGAGGAGGATAGTCGACTTGGATTACGAGTAAGCTATAAGCCTGTACAGCTGTACTCACTACTCTGAATGTCATTCAGAAAAAAGATCTGAGCTATTTGGCTTTCAACATACTATGACCGTACCTTTGTGGCTTTGTGCTCTGGACTTGTATTCTAATTTGATAGTCATTGTAGGCTGAGACTGAGAGTATAGATCGTTTGTTTTATCTTACCTTCTTCTAGTTGAGATTTGGGAACTTGTGTATTTTCATTACTAAGATAGAAGTAGAAGGGTGCTATGTCAATATTTCTTGTTTTATAGAAGTTTGATATACTGCAAACTTTCGTACAAGATAGTTATTTCATCATTACAATAGAAATATTACGCCAACTGTGAGAGATTAATACAAAATATAGCCTAAATTAAGCTCCACTCCGGCTTACAACAAATGGACTTCTCACTATGAATTTGTTGCTTCTCCAAGTGATTGCCCCGAACAAATCTCCCTTAACAGACGAATCAGAAGTGGAAAATGTAACCATGTATTCCAACTTCTTGGTAGCTGCTGTGAATCTTAGTTCAGTAGGACTCACATCTACCTCAAGTCCTGTAGGTGTTTCAACTGTTACATTATAGACTGGATCATCATCAGTATCAACATTTGTGACAGTCCTATTCACTATAATAGGACCTATTGTGTCAATCATGGATATAGCTATCGATGGGTAGTTGATGTTTGATATCATGTCAGTGTTTGAAGATACGGGACAAGAAAATCCAATTGGAAGGTCACCTGCGATAAGCTTTATGGTTGACATATTGTATCCATAATAACACAAAAAATTCAGGTATTCAGCTGGCTCGATGTCATAAATTAATCCTGGATGTAATCCCCCAATCGGGTTCACCTCCCCTGCTCCAAGATCGTATGGTGTGGTTGCCTCATCAAACGATTGTGTGGTAATTGGCCTATTTATGTTGTTGGTTTGAGTTGCTGCCAATGAAGTGATCACTTTGTAAGTATATAGTTTCCACTAACAAGAAAGAAGAAAAAAGCATGTTTACATGGTCAAAATAATAATGTCTGATTGTGCACATAACACAGCTTAAAAATTCATGATTCAGATAAACTTTTCTGTCTGCTCTGAACTTCAATTTAGACTGTGGTTTGTTAATTAACTTTTATATATTCGCTGCCTATATTTAAAGAAAATGAAATAATCTTTGTTCAATTGTTTCATGCTTAGTTCACTTACCAGTGGTCATGATAGCAGATCTTATAGCAGCAGGAGTCCAAGCAGGATTCTGAGCTTTGATGTTCGCTGCAATGCCTGTAACATGCGGACATGCCATAGAGGTTCCAGAAATCACGTTGAATAGAGAAGGTTCTCTTCCCTCAGGTGTGGTTTCATCTAATGTGTCATTACCTTTCCACGCTGCAAGGATATTTACTCCTGGTGCAGCAATATCAGGCTGCCAAAAGAAACGGTGAATATATCTAACAAATCTGTTAGCATGTTTTATAAGCAGAAACAGAAAAAGGGACCTTACCTTGAGAATGTTTAATGTGGTTGATGAAGGACCTCTGGATGAGAAAAAGGCAACTGTTGGTGCTGGCTTAAATCCTTGGGCAGTTTTTGTCGGTAAGATTGTAGCAACAGGATTTCTTGAACAAAAATGTCATCAAATTAGCATGTAATGTAATAAACAGTACTGAACATGATCACTCTAGCATATTTGAGTTAGGGAAGAGAGTTAATTAGTTATCTTACTTGGTCGCATTTATGTATGCAAGAATTTGGTTGCTATCCTTTGATGTGATTACAGTCATTGGGAAGTCACCCGTTTTAATTGCAAATAATCGCATTAGATCACTGACAATTATCAACCCTACTGCACCACTTTCATTAACTTTCTTTTGCTTCCAATACATATCATAATCACTGTTGTCTGCTTGCTGACAAAGGACAATTTTTCCTCTGATCTTCTCTGCATCAATTGCGTCTGGGTAGCAATTCCTGGAAAAAAAAAATAAAATCTATCAGTACAAATAAGATGAATAGCGACTATTAAATAAGAAATATAGAACAATACTGTTGGAAGGTACAACAACAACAGAATTCACCTTGCTTCATATTCACTTGCAGACTTATTCTTGGCTGATCCTCCAGATATTAGTGGGTATACTGGAGACTTTATAAGCTTTGAGAAGTTAATGGATCCACCCTGAAAAATTAAAGTAGACAGAAATCTGTATAACTTTGATTTACCTTATGGTACAAATTTTTTGTACAATCTTATGACGATGAAATAATGAATTGACATCCATCAAAAATATGAAATCAAACACTTGGTTTCAGAAAATCATATACTAGGACAGGTGCATTATATATATATCTTGATTTATGTAGTTTAAGTAGCTAGATAATGTGTTACCTTAATTCTTGTGTTGTTGCCTAAGATGACATCAGACTCAAAGTCACGGTCAATGGTAGTAGCAGCAACAGTAAAGATCCAAGGAGCAACATTTACAACAGATTGAGGAGAAGGGCCGCCATTCCCTGCAGAGCAGACCACAGTGATCCCTTTTTGTACAGCATGGAATGCACCAATAGCTATAGCATCAGTGGCGAAATCATTTTCAAATGAAGATCCAGTTCCAAGGGATAAGGACAGCATATCAACACCATCTGCTATAGCATCATCAAACGCAGCCAAGATAGCAGATCCAGGGCATCCCTCCTCATTGGAGCACACACGATACGAAGCTATGCGTGATGTAGGGGATCCTCCCCTTGCTGTCCCATTAGCTAATCCATAATATGAAGCATTGGCTACAGGAGCACCTGCTGCAGTTGATGCTACATGTGTGCCATGGCCAAAATCATCTCTAGGTGAGGCCATTATCGATTTGCTGTAGTGTCTTGCTCCGATTATTTTTCTGAAAAAGTAATGAAAAGATTAATGAGAAGTACAAGGAAAATGTGTCATTACATAAGGCAAGCTAAGGAAAAACAGACAAATCAGGTATATATTTATTTTACTACTCAATATACTTGTTACAATTTGATGAACTGAAGTTTTTTCCCTCCATACAAATCCCTCTCCATCTCCGCGGTATTGGGCCCAAGCCTTTGTCACTAAAGCTCTCGGATTCTGGCCAGATACCTACAGAATAATTTAATTGGATTATGTACTCTATCATGTATCGTTTGACAAATTAATCTTAGTCTTTTAATTGAAAATTCACCTGAATCTAAAAAACCAATAATAGTATCTGATCCTTCAGTGGGTGACACTGCAGCATTAGAGTGTGATGATTGGGAGGCAATCCTTGGGGAAGTTCCGTACTGTAAGAAATCCCATGAACGCGTTGTATGGAGTTGTAGCAGGGGATCTGGAAACACTGACACTACTCCAGGTTGTTTGGACAGTTGAAGTGCTTCTGACTCTGATAATCGTGCAGCAAATCCTGAGAACCCGTGCTTGTAGGTATGTATTAATGAACTCTGGTTCCTGCAACACAAAAAGAACAATTTAACAGTAAAAATTAATCACATAAATGAATAAAATTAACAGTAGATTACACACCTGCTTATCAATGAACTAAGAAGTGTATCATAGCTATTCTTGTTAGCTCCCATGTACACGATATAAACATTGTCATTTGATAATGCTGTCTTAGCCTCACTGGTTCCGTAATGTGACAAAATGAAGAGAACAAAGTAGTAAAACAGGATGGAATAACAGGTTTTCATGATTGACTATGTTTTTTAGTATATTATATTTGCACTCCTTCAATGCAGGTAAAGCAGCTTATTTATAGTGTTTAGTGGCAGTAAGGTAATGCACGTAATATACCACATGTAAGAAGAGCAGACGCGTAAACAGTATAATACAATCTGCCTCTCAGTATGAATCTAGATTGTGACATTATACTTACCTTCATGCCATATATACACGGTGAACATGGGTTGTGGTGGTGATAAGAAATTCATTAAGGTAAAATTTGAAGATAAAGTAAATCGTATTGTATATTTCTGCTATAATAGCTTATACAAGGAATAACATATGAGAAATTTGTACTCTCTGTATAAACCTCGATTGTGACATTATACTTTCCTTCATGCTATATATACATGGTGAAAACATGGGTAGTGTTGGTGGACTGATGGGAGGATAAGATAAAATTTGATGATATAGTAATTTTTATTGTATATTTTTGCTATAGTAACTTATAGAAGTAATTTTGTATCAGAAATTTGTAAGTATGCGTACATAAATGAAAGTAACAGACAAAAGCAACATGCTAAGTCGATGGAGACCTTGTTTGAAATTAGTATGTGTGTTTTTATATCAAGGTAGAGTTATACTGATAGTTTCAGGACTGTAACAGAAGATGCTCACATAAGTTGGAAACTACATTTTAGAAATATTTAGATGATAACATGATACTAGGATGATTATGAGCTGAACCAAGCTAACCCAGCTCAGCTTGGCTTGTACCAACTCAAATTCAAATGTTTCAATTCTTAGCTTAGCTCGTAAATCAACATATGAAGATTACAATGATAATTTGATTTTTAGCTTGCTATTCAAAAATCACTAAGTCATTTTTGTAGCTTATATGGTCAGTCCTGCTCACGAGCTTGGGTTCCAAAGTTGACAGGAAAAAACTTGCTAGGTATCATAGATTTTAATGTTACTACATGAAACATGTTAATAGGATTCAAAATATTACTTGTATGCCTGTATTAAAAGCTGCTCTTATTGTTAATCATAATTAAACAGGTGAAGCCTGTTCTGAAATTTAGTGTTTCAGATATTATTATTGCACAACCCACAACATGACAAATTATTAGTAAATTTCATTTCATTATTCAAGGAAAATACTATTATGCTGGCCACTCGAATGAGTGATTTTAAACTTCTATTATTCTTACACATGACTACATGAGTAACTCCGAATTATTGTTATTTGTCCTGTATTCTCACACAATTTGATCTTGTATAATTTCAAGTTTTTCATAGAGTAGTACAGGATTGCTACATGTAAGAGCACTCCATTTTGATTTGAGCCTCATTAATAATATAACTGCAAGGAATCAATATTAGGGGAAGGGTATGTTAGTCATAGACTCATAGCCTATTAGTAGTAGCTTGGGGAATAAGTTAGAGTTTGTTATGAGAGTTATAATATAAATAAGCCTCATTGGGAGGAATAATCATCATGTTGAATGTTGTTGAGGTTATGTTAACGGGAGAGAGTGAGCCTCTCGAAAGCTCATATTAGGAGAAAATCCACCTCTTGTAAGTGGAATTATCCTTCTATTAGTGTAATTCACTTATTATCAATATAATCATCATTGTTCTTCCCTAATTTCTGCCATATTTAGAGCAGTAATCTGGTCATAAACCATGCTAATTCCAAGCAATAACCCTCAATTAGGCAATGAAAGAGTTACTCCTGCTGTTCCTAAATTATAGGTATTGTAGTCTAATTTAAATTATAGGCCACTTTTAAAGTATTGTAGTCTAATTTAAATTATAGGCCACTTTTAAAGTATTGTAGTCTAATTTGATTTGTTGAACTTTGACCGATGGCTTTGATCAATAATTTTGGCTAAGTTTTATTTTATTGTGTACCATCCACACTACAGAAGTATTAATTTGCTGTGAATCTTGTAATTTTCGAAGTATTAGTTGGTCTTATTACTGATTATATATCGACGAAGAAACTTTACAAGGCTTTATTATGTTGATACAGAAAGTAGCTGTTCATTTAGAATGTTTCAAATTCTTGATGTCCTAATCACTTTGATACAATTTCTCTCTGGTTTCCAGGGTAAAGCTCCTTGTCTTGTTATGTAGATGAATAATGTAACACTAGGGTTATCAGGCATGATATTCTATCATACCATTAGATATCTATGTACTAAAACCGATATCAAACTCCACTTCGGTTTACAACAAATGGACTTCTCACTTTATACTTCTTGTTTGTCCATGTGATTGCTCCAAACAGATCTCCTTTAGCAGAAGAAGAGGGAGAGAATGTGACCTCATAGCTCAACCTTTTGGCATCTGCTGTAAATTTTAGTTCATTTGGACTTACATTTACCTCCAGCTCTGCAGGTTTATCTATAGTTACAGTATAGGTTGTGGCTTCATCAGTACCAACATTAGTGACAGTCCTCTTAACTGTAACAGGTTCTGTCGTAGAGTTTATGGATATAGCTATTGATGGATAGTTCATGTTTGATATCATGTCCTTGCTTGAATTTTTAGGACAAGCAAATCCACTAGGAAGTTCAGTTGCAATAAGCTTTATAGCGGAGATATCATATCCATAATAACACAAAAACTGCAAGTAGTCTGCTGGGTCGGTGTCATACACCAGTCCTGGTTGTATTCCTCCAGTCGGGCTTACCTCCCCTGCCCCATAATCATATGGTGTGGCGTTTTCTCCTGTTTGTGTGGTTATTGGCTCTTTTAAATTGTTGATTTGAATTGCTGTCAATAAGGTAAATCCTTCAGTAAGTATACTCAAAATATTTTTAATCGCTTCTTGTCATTTTAAGTTCTGTCTCCACAAGCTGTGCTTAGTTGCAATAAAAATCAGATTTCAGAATGAGCTTTGCAGACTAGTCCACATTTAGTATGAAAATGGAAAAAAAATAAGTTATGTTTTTTTTCAAGTATTAGCAATTAGGATATATGCAAGACTATTTATGGTAACGAACTTCAGATCATTTGCAGGAAGTATAAAGTTTTGATGCTTTGATCACTTACCAGTTGTGATTATAGCAGACCTTACAGCAGCAGGACTCCAGGAGGGATTCTGGGATTTAATGTTGCCAGCAATGCCTGCAACATGAGGGCAAGCCATAGAAGTTCCAGATAGCAGGTTGAATCGAGGAGGCTCTCTGCCTTCAGGCGTGGTTTTCTTTTGATTTGTCATTAGCAAACCATGCTGCTAGGATATTTACTCCTGGAGCTGCAATATCAGGCTGCATAATGTTTGGGATAAAATTTTAGTTAGTTACAAGTAAAACAAAAAATGTTTGTTCTTCAACCAAACAAAAGATGGCCGGTCTTACCTTGAGAAGGTTTTTAAGGCCTGCTGCAGGACCTCTTGCTGAGAAATAGGCAACTGTTGGTGCTGGCTTAAATGCTGGGATTGTTTTTGTAGCTAAGATTGTTGCAACCGAATTTCTTCAACAAGGTTTTTATACAATTATTAGCTCATATAAATACTACATATGAACCGAAAGAAATATACTTGTACATTTTAGTATCTTACTCAGTCGAGTTGATGTATGCAAGGATCTCTGCACTATCCTTTGAGGTAATGACAGTCATTGGGAAGGTTCCTGAATTACTGGCAATTAACCGCGTTTTATCATTAACTATTATAATTCCTACACCGCCACTCTTCTTGACTGCTGTTAGTTTCATTCTGGGGCTATATATACTGTTGTCTGCATGCTGACAAAGCACAATTTTTCCTTTTATCATCTCTGCATCAATTGAGTTTGGGTAGCAATTCCTGGGAATAATACATTAATATTAGTATGCTGAATGACACCAATACACATACTTCTGAAAAAGAAAAAATAAAAAAGGAAATTCTACCTTGCGTCAACTTCAGTTGCAGACTTAGTCTTCGCCAAACTGCCAGATATCAGTGGGTATTTTGGAGACTCTTCAAGCTCAGAGAAGTTAATAGATTCACCCTGAAATTTGGACAAGGAGTCATTTTTACACAGTTTATGAGTTATAGGAGGAAAAGATTATACTACAAACTAAGCTAATGATAATACCTTGATCACTTTGTTGTTGCCTAAGACAATATCAGACTCGAGGTCACGATCTATAGTAGTAGCAGCAACAGTTATGATCCAAGGAGCCACGTTGACAACGGATTGAGGAGAAGGGCCGTCATTCCCTGCAGAGCAGAGCACGGTGATCCCCTTTTGGACTGCATGGAATGCACCTATAGCGATAGGATCAGTGGAGAAATAAGGTGCAAATGAAGATGATGCTCCAAGTGATAAGGACAGCATGTCAACACCATCTGCTATTGCATCATCAAAAGCAGCCAAGATAGCAGATCCAGGGCATCCATCAGGGAAGCACACACGGTACATAGCTATGTGGGATGTTGGAGATCCACCTTTTGCTGCACCGTTAGCCAAGCCATAGTATGAAGCGTTTGCTACTGAGACACCTGCTGCTGTTGATGAAACATGAGTGCCGTGGCCTAATTCATCTCTAGGCGACTGCATTTGTGATTCACTGTCTTCATCTTTATAGTATCTTGCTCCTATCAATTTTCTACATATATGATACACCTTGTGATTACTAAAGATTACAAATACATGCTGTAATAATGTTCTGGAAAAAACTTTAGCATATCTGACTTATTTAATATGCTGGGAAATATATGTATTTATAGTTCCAAACATACTTGTTACAGTCTGAAGTAGTGAAGTTTTGTCCCACCATACACTTCCCTTTCCATCTTGATGGAATTGGATCCATGCCTTCGTCGCTAAAGCTCTCAGATTCTGGCCAGATACCTATGCTTATTTTTATAAAAAAAGATCAGAATGTAAGAAAATGAAAATCACTAGCAGATTTCAATACAGAATGCAGTATATAATACAACTACCTTAGCTTACTACTTAGGATGAAAATAAAAGAAATTTACCTGTATCTAAAATCCCAATAATTGTATCTGATCCTTTAGAGGCTGACACTGGAACTGCATTAAAGCGTGGTTGGGAGTCAATTAATACAGATGTTTCGTACTCTAAGAAATCCCATGAACGCGTTGTATGAAGTTGAAACATAGGATCAGGAAACACTGAAACAACTCCAGGTTGTTTTCTCATTTGACTTGCCTCAGAGACTGATAACCGTGCAGCAAATCCTGAAAACCCATTCTTGTAGCTGTGTACTAATGCTTTCTTATTCCTACAACAAGAATTTCACATAATTAAA